TGAACAACAGCCTCTTAGTCTACGTAAAAGTTCCTCACAAGCACGATTAAGTGTTCTGGAATTCCCATTCTTCACAACGTTAGCTAAAATTTGTATGATCCACACAGTAAAATGCTTTAGCAGAGACAATAAAATGCAGGTCAGTATCTTTCTGGTATTCTTTGCTTTCAGCCAAGATCCATATGATGGATCCATCAGCAATGATATCCCTCATTCCATGACCTCTACTGAATCCAGCTTGCATTTCTGGAAGTTCCCTGTCAATATATTGCTGCAATAATTTTTTAATTATCTTCAGCAAAATATTACTTGTGTGTGATATTAAAGGTGTTGTTAGATAATTTCCATATTCTGTTGGATAACCTTTCCTTAGAACGAGCACAACTATGGATCTTATCCTGTCAATTGGCCAGGTAGCTGTCTTCCAAATCTCTTGACATAAATGAGTAAGTGCACTGTATCCATTTGTTGAAATATCTCAATGGGTATTCCACAATTCCTGGAGCCTTTTTTTTTTTTTTTTTTGCCAATTCCTTCGTGTGGCTTGGACTTCTTCCTTCAATACCATTGGTTCCTGATCATATGCTACTTCCTGAAATAGTTGAACATTGACCAGTTCTTTTTGGTATAGTGACTCTGTGTATTCCTTCCATCTTCTTTTGATGCTTCTTGCATCATTCAATATTTTGCCCATAGAATCCTTCAATATTGCAATGCCAGGCTGGAATTTTTTCTTCAGTTCTTTCAGCTTGAAAAATGCTTAGTGTGTTCTTCTCTTTTGGTTTCCTAACTCCAGATCTTTGCACATTTCATTATAATAATTGACTTTGTCTTCTCTAGCTGCCCTTTGAAATCTTCTGTTCAGCTCTTTTATTTTGTCATTTCTTCCATTTGCTTTAACTACTCTCCTTTCAGGAGCTAGTTTCAGAGTTTCTGTCTTTTCTTCCTTTCCTGTCTTTTTAGTGACCATTTGCTTTCTTCATGTGTAATGTTCTTGATGTCATCCCACAACTTTGGTCTTTGGTCACTGGTGTTCAGTGCATCAAATCTATTCTTCAGATGATCTCTAAATTCAGGTGGAATATAATCAAGGTCATATTTTGGCTCTTGTGGACTTGTTCTCATTTTTTTGCTTCAACTGGAACTTGCATATGAGCCATTGATGGTCTGTTCCATCATCAGCTCCTGCCTTGTTTTGACTGAAGATATTGAACTTCTCCATCACCTCTTTCCACAGATATAGTCTATCTCATTCCTGTATATTCCATCTGGCAAGGTCCACCTGTATAGCTGCCATTTATCTTGTTGAAAAAAAGTATTTGCAATGAATAAGTCATTGGTCTTGCAAAATTCTATCATGTGATCTCCAGTGTCATTTCTATCCCTAAGGCTGTATTTTTCAACTACCAATGATTCTTCGTTTCCAACTTTTGCATTCCAATCACTAGTAATAATCAACACATCTTGATTACATGATTGGTCAATTTCAGACTGCAGAAGTTGGTAAAAATCTTCAATTTCTTCATCTTTGGCTGAAATGGTTGGAGCATAAATATGAATGACAGTAGCATTAACTGGTCTTCCTTGTAGGCATATGTTATATTATCCTATCACTGACAGCATTGAAATGTTCTTTTTGACAATGAATGTGATTCCATTTTTCTTCAATTGTCATTCCCAGCATAGTAGACTACATGATTGTCTGATTCAAAATAGCCAGTACCAGTCCATTTCAGCTCACTAATGCCTAGGATATTAATGTTTATGCATCCCATTTCATTTTGACCACCTCCAATTTTCCTACATTCTTACTTCATACCTTCCACATTCTTATTATTAACGGATGTTTGTAGTTGTTTCTTCCCATTTTGAGTCATACCCCATCAGCAAATGAAAAATGAAAAGCTTTACTCCATTCACGTCATTAAGGTCAACTCTACATTGAGGAGGCAGCTCTTCCCAAATGGTATTTTGAGTGTCTTCCAAACTGAGGGCCTTATCTTCCAACACTATATCAATGTTTCACAACTATTCATAAAGTTTTCCAGTAATATTTCAAACAATGTTTCACTGCTATTCGTAAAGTGTTCAGTGGCCAATTTTTTCAGAAGTTGATGGCTCTGTCCTTCTTTCCTGTTTTCCATGGCTCTTAGCGATCAAAATTCTCGACTTGACCTTTAACTGGCCCTTGGCTCCCTTTCCAGCTTCATCAAGAGTGTTTTCTCATTTCCCTCTGTTCCCCTCACAGTGCCCTTCCCAGTTCATCTAATCTGTTGTCCTGCTATAATACCATTACAAAAGCTGTTTCCTCAATCTCTCCCCATACCCCACAATCACTATATTCTTTCACTTTCTGCAAAGATAGGACTTAGGCACAGAAACCATCCCTGATACTGCTCATTCTGCTCTCATGATACACATTGTGTTTCTTTTCCTCTTATTCCAATCTACAGTTTTGTGTTTCTACAATAGGTAGATGTTAACCTTCTTGCACTTTGCTCCACACTTTGCTCCCCACCAGTGTCTAAGTGCCAAGAAGGGAGGCATTTTATCTGTTTCGGTCACTATTTTGTTCTAAATGGACTAGCACAATGCATGGGAGATGCTCAATAAATATTCATGAAAGAAATTGAGGAGAGAAGGTAGGAAGACTTGGAGGAGAGACCTAAAGAAGGGCAGGGGAGGAAAGAGGAGGACAGGGCAGAGGACAGAAGGGAAGAAGCAAAGACAAGCTGCAGACCATCGGATCAGGTTAATATCGAGAAGGTGTCAGCTCCCTTGAAGGAGCAGAGACTACACTTGAAAACTTAATATAGTAATTAAGGGCTTGGAGTTTTGAGGTAAATCCTCTACCAGCCAAAGGTTTGGAGGTTGGAACCCACCAGCTGTTTTGCAGGAGAAAGATAATGGCAGTCTGCTTCCATAAGAATTACAGCCTTGGAAACCCTATGGGGGCAATTATACTCTGCCCTATAGCTTTGCCATGAGTTGGAATCATCCTCACTGCAACAGGTTTGTTTTTTTAATTTAAGCCTCACTAAGCTTTGTAGCAGGAGCTCTGGTAGCATAGAGCCTAAGGCACTTGACTGCTAACCAGAAGGATGGCGGTTCAA